TTATTATTATTATTATTATTATTATTATTATTATTATTATTATTATTAAAATGTATACGGCTGCGCAATTCACACTTGGTAATTCCAGGTGGCTTACAAGGATAGAATGATAACTCTATTGTTATCATTATTTACACTCAGCATTGTAATTTAATATCGTTCGTGAATAGCCCACAGTATTACTCAGCAAACTATGATTAAAAATAACTGGATCATTGTAAGACATTCAGAATCCTCTAGGATTTAGAGTTGTAATTTAACTATTATCAAGTAAGACAGACAAATGTTGAATTTTGTTTAGTGTAGCTTTTGCCTTGAAGATAAATTGAGAATATGTCTCTTTAATTTTCAATTAATATATTTTGTTTCATTCTTACATCTTCTTTGTTATACTTGGAAGAGATGTATATGAAGAAAGATTGACATGTTTTGTACAATTAACATGACTAAGAATTCTTTAACTTCCAATGGTTGACTTGCTAGTGTTCTCCATATCCTTTGGCTGCTATTTTTTTTTCTGTTTATGGATTTTTTTGTTAACGTGTACTTCTTAACAGGAAGCATTTAAACTTTTTGCAGTTCTGAAACCTATTTTTTTCAAACATTTTTATTAGGTTATTAAGTATTATAAAATACAAAAGTAAATAACAATGAGACGGAAAGGGGAAGGGGGAGAGAAGTGAGGAAAGGTAGGGAAAAGAAAAGAAAAAGAAGCATTGACTTTTTCATTCTATTGCAGTAAAATAAGGCATTAGCATCAAATCACAGCTTTGTGTTTTTCCATAGTAATACGAACAAGTCATTTCTATAAAACTCTGTCAATCTAATCTATAAAACCCAAAGTCAAAATTACATTCTTTTCCACATCAAGCACAAAATTCTGAAGCGGTTTCCATGTGGGAACAAAAGCAATTCTAAAAACTTCTGAAATAGTTTCAGTGATATGAATCTTTCCCTTTTCCTGCTATGGTAAAAATATTGCCAAGCCTGCTAATTCTTTGAAAGTATGGCAAAATAGCTTTTAAAATTTCATCCTTTGGATAAATCATGTTACTGTCACAAATTTTAATAGCTCTTATAATTATAACTTACTGAGTATTTTTAATATGTTTTAAATTTAATGTAAAATATCTTTTAACAACCTCCTTTAAAAAGGAGTAGCTTATGTATGTAAATTTGTTTCTATTTCTGCACTTCAGACTGCCAAATCAGACTAATTTGAGATTTGCAATTAACACTGCATAAGGTGACCTCAGAAATAAAATATATAATATGCTGCCATGATAATATTTGAATATTCTAATTCTCACAGAAGCTAAACAGTCCACCAAAGCTTTTATATACAAGTAGTCCTCACACTAAAATAACATTATTTTAGCAACCACTGAAAATTATGACAGTACTGAAGGGATTTATGATCTGTGCCCAAAGTTATAGCTATTTCAGTATCCTCATGATGGTAATCTGGGTACTTGGCAATCTGTACACACCTAAGAAGGTTTGCAGAAGTGGTTGCCAAGTGCCCTATCATGTGATTGTTATTAGCAATCTTTCCTGCTGGTTTCTCAGAAAATCAGTGGGGAAGCCAGCAGGGAAGGTTGTAAGCCATTGCCTTCTAGTTGATTCTGCCTGAGAAATCTGCCCAGAAATTCAAGCAGAAATCTAAGTAGAATAGAACTTCCGGTTGCGAACGCTTCTGACCATGAACAAATCTGGCTCCGACCAAAATATTCACAAAATTTTTGAATCTGGTCATGGAAATTAAGGAGAAACTTCCTAAGAGTGAGAAAAATTAACCAGCTTGCCTTCAGAAGTTGTAGGGGCTTCATCACTGGAGATTTTTAAGAAGAGACTGGTCAGCCACTTGTCTGAAATGGTATAGGGTCTCCTGCTTAGGCAGGGGGTTGGACTAAAAGGTCCCTTCCAGCTCTATTCTGATTGGCAGAGGGTTGGACTAGATGACCTACAAGGTCCCTTCCAACTCTTATTATCTGTTTCTGTTTCTGATTGATTGACTGACTGACTGATAGATTGATTCTACCCCATGCGGGGTCTAAATCAATCTGGAAGGCAGCTTTTTTAGGTTTGTTTTCTAGCCCTGTCCTCCTTATTTCCATATTCCTGTTCTATTTGAAATTGGACAACGTCATGTCTCTCCAGAACCATAGATATCTGTTATTTGTGTTTTTCTGACCTCTGATTCATGAAAATTTTGAGTTGCAGAATTGGAAATTGAACTTTTACATAGAAAGCATCTTCTGTATTCTTTTGATACAGTATTTTTCAAATGAAAGCCAATAGTATGACTTGTTTCTTATGGCATCGTAAAAAATAAAAAAGCAACAGCTCTGAGTCACAGTGGCAGATTTTTCTGTCCATCCCCCTGCAACTGTTAATTTTTGTTAACAGAGAGTTGATGTGGAGGAGTAGCATAGCATGAGTTCTTCCTTTGAATTTGGGGTCTCAATTCAGGTGTGGCATAATGTAAGCATGTTTTACCGTCTTATACTGCATGAAAGTATCTTATACTGCATTTGTCTTCTTATTAGAGTGCTTGTAAAGCATTGCAAGTAGCAGCACCTTGTTGACCTTAGTGGATCCTAGTGGACAAAGCTAAGCAGGCTTGGTCCTGGTTAGTATTTGGTTGAACAGCCAAGGACTAGACTGGGAGGTTGGACAAACTATCCCAGGAGGCAGTACCAAACGACTTCAGTGCTGTTTTAAGAAATCTATATGGAGTACATGGAGTCACTTGGAATCCAGTGTTATTAAGGGGATATAATTTACCTTACACTGAGAATCTCCGCTTCCAAGCAGCTTCATAGAAACCCAGTAATCATTTGCTATTTAGCACCAAAACAAATCTTGATCCATATAGGCAAATATCATCCAGCTGATTTTGCATACTGATAGTCCTAGTTTAACAATCGCAATTGGGACCAGCAAATCTGTAGCTAAATGATGTGGTTGTTAAGGAAAATATCACATGACTATGATAGGTTTACTTGTTCACTTCCATGTGATTGTTAAATGAGACATCATGTTACAGTAAATTGCAATTTTACCACAAGCTACTCCATTTATATTGCTTGTTTGAAGCCAACTGTGAGGTGTGCAAATTGTGATCAGGTGACCATGGGCTGCTAGGGCACAACTTAAACCAATTGTAAAGCAACCTGAATCTTAAACACATGACAATAGGTATGCTACAACAGTTGTAAGCGCAAGGTCCAGTCACAGTTACTTTTTCAGCACAGTCATAACTTCAAACAGTTGCTAAACAAGACAGTTGCTAAACTAGGGCAACCTGTACTGCATTATGCTATGTTTTATTTTGACTATGTTTCTGAAAAGGCTTGTTAATCTGTTATGCTGAGTCACAAACTAAGGCTCAAAACCAAAGACGTTATGCACATAGTGTGATGTGTAAACCAAACTGATTGGTAACATATTTCATTAAGGCCTTTAACTGTATTATTGTTCTAATGCTGTTCTAGATGCTGATTTTGGGACTAAGCTTCAGTACTTATCCATCTGGATTTTTTTAATGGGCATTTAACTGTCCAAATTAATATTTTCATTTGATTACATAGTAAGTTTTTTTTTGCTGGTTGTGGCAAGTAAACTGGAGAAGATGGCCATAGAGTATGGGTATTTTTTCCATTCTAAATTCACCTGACAAAATATTTCATTGTATCATTCCAGATTTCTCCACTGTTGAATGTAAAGATCTCCATGGTAACTCAAACCCCCAGCCTCTTTGTAGCAGCTTGCAAGAAGCAGTTTTCAACAGCTCAAAGGTCTCACGGCCAGGTAAGCAGAACAATTTGGAAAAGTGACGTTTTCACATCTATGTTATCAAAACCATAGAATCTGATTTACCTTATAATACAACAGAATAAATTATTCTTTTTTTAAAAAAATACTGAGCCACAATTAGATATTGAATAGCAAAATATCCAAAGGAGAAAAGTGATGAAAGCTGATTCTTTAAAAAAAAATAATCGGTCCAATGGTAAGTGGATATTAAAATATAAAAATAATCCAAGTCTTTTACAAAGAAGAAATATGCTTCTTGTAATAACTTATACAGACCAAGCAGTACAAAATCAGTCTGAAAATCAGAACTTTTCTATGTGATAGTCTATAGCAGGGGTCTCCAACCTTGGCAACTTTAAGCATGGAGGACTTCAACTCCCAGAATTCCCTAGCCAGCAAAGCTATAGAAATCTATAGAACAAAACTATAGAACAGGAGACTTGGGAAAGGACTTCTCATCTCACATAATGTCACACAATGCATATTGTCCCTTATGGTGAAATATATAATTGCAGCCTTGTCATATATATTTTTCTGATAGTTCCTGGTACTATATGTTGTGAAGGACTTTCTTTTCCTCATGTGAGCAGTGGGGCTATACATGATTCCATTCTGATTCATATTTTTAAAAATGACTTTTCTAGATTATTGATCACAATCAAGTCCTATAATGCATGTAAATTCAGGACCTATAATCTAGTTTTATAGAAATTCTGTGGCATTTGCTGTCATTCACTGTGAAAATCATGTTTTTATTTTACTGCATAAGTTATATAATGTTGTAGCGTTCTTTTTTTTCATGATATAAAAAGTTTGTTAACTGAAGATTATAAAATGCATTCATTTTTTCAAAAAATATGTATACATGTGAGATTGATACTTTTATATTTCAAGTTATCTACTTTTGATGTATATTTGTTTTAAATTTTGTGTCATGTTGATAATGCAGTACACAATATTTTACAAGTATTTTATGTATATTTTCAAATAGAAAAAGCATGTAAAAAAGGCTTTAGCAAAAAATATGAAGAAATTCAAGAAAAATAAAATATATGTCATAATAATAAACAGTTACAATTTTATATATACTTGTTTAATGCAAATATTATTCAAGTATGTATATATTTTAAATACATTTATACAACTTTTTAACCTACTGTATTCTGTATAAATGAGACTGGTTATACCTTTCAATACAAAATACGTCTGTAGATGTGTTTTACAAATATAAGAGTCAAAAATATACATATCTTCTACGTATAATAAACAAAATCTTCAAAATCTAACTCTAAACATTGTGTACAAATAGGAGCAATTATAATATTGAAACCCTTCTTTTCAATAACAATGATAAGACTTCCCATTCATGGAGTCTGTCAATTTCTTGATCTGTTGACGATCTACATTTTGTATAGCAGCAAACACAGCCTCCCAGACACTGTTCAGAGAGGTGTACTGTTCTCCTTCACTGTAAATCTCCAGTATCTTCAGTCTTTTCTGCTATATTGAATGTTGACTGTCATGTGATCTCTGTGTTAGATACTTTGACAATTTACTTTCAAACATAGTCTTCAGAGTGAGATTTTGAGCAGCTATTGATAAAACTTTGCTCCCTTGCCTTGAGTGGAATATAAATTGGCTAAATTTATAATGAATAATCAGTTACAGTGACACTGACTATACCTTAAAGAAGCTTCACTATCAAACTGTTTAATGCTCACAAACATTTGTGGGTCTTAGAATATACAATAAATTCACTGAAAATATTCCACGCTCTCAGAGTTCTCTTTACAAAGCTTTTCTCTTTATAACCACCGTTAAATTAATGGAAGAGGTAAGGAGAGGAGAAGTAACAGCAATATATTTCATTACTAAATGGCCTCATTTCCATCAGAACAGCTTAAATCAGTATTTTTGAAACCTGGTGAAATCATACAACAACTTCAAAACTTACCGTCTGTCTGACCTGCATAATAACTCCCCAGGGGATGTAATTATGAACTCTTGAGTTGAAGTAGAAATATGGGGTGATACTTAGCAGGTTGTAAATGATGACACTATGCTTGTTTGCCAAATTAGCAGGGTGCAATCATGCTCTATATAGAGAATGAAGTGACTATTCAATTACATTTTACTGCTAATGAAATAAAACTGGATATTTCATAACAGTGAAAGTTGATACACATGAAATCTTGATATGCATTACCAAGTTTGGTGAAGTTTGGCTGAAATGTTGCATAATCCATGATAACAAGCAGAAAAAAATTACATTTATAAAAGAAAGAGGATAAGAACAAATATTTTTATTTTTTTGTATCCTGCCTTTATTTCTATTTTACAATTAAGCAAATACAATCACCTGTGATTGAATTCCCTTATTTTAACATTCTATTCCATCCAGAAATTATTTCTATTTGTATTTCCACTTAGTCCTTTACAACAAAGAAGCTGCTGAAACTTTGCGATTATGGAAATGATAGGGCTTGTATTCCATGTGTTAAAGGGAAATATTTATGGACAATTCTTTATACAAGTTACTACAGCTTTCTCTGTTTTTTAAAATGAGTCTTTATGCAGGCTATCCCTTTCTCTTTTTTATTTTAAACATTAAATTTTGCAAGAAGAATTATAAATAGGTTGTTCAATGGGACATTTTGGTAGTGATATTATTTTGGTAACAAACATGTCATTCATGGTTCTGTGGTTCATGGAGTTTAATAAAACTTGAGAATTCTATCCCTTTTCAGCTTGTCAAACTTTTCTGATATCCATAATGTATTTCAAAAGTTCTGTATTTTCCTTTCACATTGAATGGTTAGACATTTATTATTATTGTGGTTGGTTGAACAGTCAGCCAGATGTTAGGACTGCATTTGGCATCTTTATTCATCTATCAAATTTTTCCCAAGGATTGGGACAGACAAGGGTCTTCAGACTTGGCAAGTTTAACACTTATGGACTTCACCTCCCAGAATTCCTGAGCTAACATGACTGGAGAAGGAATTCTGGGAGCTGAAGTCCACAAGTCTTAAAGCTGTCAAGTTTGAAGACCCCTGGGATAGGCAGATATTGTTGTTTGATTACTTTAAAGGTATCATCATAGTGTGTAAACTATTCTGGATAAAAGTGTGTTTTGCAATTCAGTGATAGTGATTTGGTCAATGCTACTAGAGTTTTTATTATTATGGTTCTTTGCACAGTCGACTAGATATTCAGACTGGATTTGGCATTTTTGTCCACCTATTGAGCACTTCCCAATGTTTGATGGTGTTACAGATACCATTGCAAGTTGTAATCTGTTTCGAGTAAAGCTGCCTTTTGCAGCTGACTGATGCTGAATTTGTCAGGGCTGATGGTGTTCAAATGGTGCTCTAGTTGTTTTGGCATTGTATCCAAGGTGCTTTTTACTATTGGTGCCACCTTTCTTTTTCTTTTTGCCACAATTATTCGATTTCTATATGGAGGTCTTTGTATTTTGCCAGTTCTTTCTCTTCTAATCTGCTGTCTCCAGGAACTGCCACGTCCACTGTCTAGACTTTGTCTTTCTTATCGACAGTTGTTAAGTATGGGGTGTTATGTGACACATGTCTATTGGTTTGAATTCTAAAGTCTCAGAGCACTTTAGCTTCTTCATTTTCTGATTTTCTCTAGTTTATCGTCCCACCGATTCTGGCTTGCAGTTAAATGGTATTTCTTGCAGATCTTCCAGTGCACCATTGTTGCTACTGTGTTTCTCCAACAATATAACCCACCCCCAAAATAAGCCAAAGCCTATTTTGGAAGGGGCTAATGTACGCCTTACTCCCAAAATAAGCCCTAATGAAGGGGGTAGGCATGGCCAGCACAGGAGGCAGTCCTTTCCTTCCCCGGTCACCTCAGGGCTGCTTGGCCCCTTAACCACGGCCCGCAGATCAATTGAGCCAGCTGAATTGCAGACAACGCTGTTTGAAAGGGTTTGCTCTCCACTGTTTCTCTGACTCTGTGTCTGTATCTCTCTCTCTCTCTCACACACACACACACTTGATGAGAAATGGCGGAAGGCAGCCAGGTAAGGGGACTGATCTCCCCCACCTCCAGCTCAATGCCTGCTCAGGATGGCACCCCAAGACCCAGCCAAACACAAGAAATAGCAGGGCGACACAGCATGCAAAAAGTAAAGTGTAAAAGCCGCTCCTACCAGTACCAAGCCAGCAGCAGCGCTTGATTCAAAACAAAACCTGTGAGTCTGGGTGCCCTTTCTGTTTGTTGCCCCCCTTTTGGGAAGCGTTTCACTGCTGCTGGTGTTATTCAGATTACATCCTGGTGTGTTTTGGAAGGGAGAAGGTGCAACTACTGTTGCCTGTGCTGGGGTTTACATGGTGGCAGAGCGAGAGAGACTGCAGGATTTATTTTTATCTCCCTTCCAAAACATACTGGGATGGCACCGGCACTGGCGGAGGCAGAGGGTAATCTGATTAAACCTCTGTGTCTCTCTCTCACACACACATACAAAAACACACACAGAGAAGTTTGATCTTTCATTCTCACCCTTCCTTCCTTCCTTCCACTGCGAGGTTTTGCATGGAGGAGCAGATTGCTTCCTGTAGGGTTGACCTCAGCACCTGCTTTGCACGGCAAGCGGAAGAGCTTTGCACTTTTTCTCCAGGGCCTTGGAAATTTCCCCCTTCGTTTTCTGCCTTAAAATTCTGGGCTCTGGCAGCGGGGCTGCTTCATCCTTTTCCCAGCATCCCCTTGATGGCCTTCCCCTCCCGCTGCACAGTTCCCCAGGGAGGGAGAAGGGGGGAGAGAGAAATGGGGAACAAATGGAAAGGACTCCCAGACTGCGGCACTTTGTTTTGTTTGAACATCGTGTCTCCTGAGAGGCCTTGTAGAGAGGCAGGTGGATCCTTAGCTGCTGGGTAGAGGGCTAGGCTGGGCTGAAGGAGAGGAGAAAAGAGCAAGGAGAGAAGCAAGTCTCCACCTGCTGCCAGTGCCACCCACAGCGGTCCAGTTGC